TTATGAGGTTTATTATAATTTTTCAGTTTTCATAATGTTCTTATACTCAATAAGTGGAACTAAATGTTTTGAAAATGTATTTCAAACACTACTAAATAAATAAATAAATATCCCCATAGGTTGTCATTTATTACTTTCTCAAGTGTTTGTTTATACTGCTATAAATTAAATAAAATCCTTCAATAATCAACAAATAACCAAAAGAACATTGCTTCTATCAAAAATAATGAATAAAAATTTATAGGTAAACTGAAAAACTTTTATTCAAATAGATTTCTTTAAATCTCTACAACTCATAAAAATTTTGCTGGAATTTGGTATACCTATATCTCTTTCAGGCTTACTCCAGTTGTGATGCGTTCTATTAATGCTTTCTCCACAACATTTTTCTTCAATTATTCCCTTTTTTTTTGACATTTTCAACCTCTTTTTAAAAAATTAAAACTAATTTCCCTCAGCTTAAAAATACATTATAGTATCATCTCACTTTTTTTAAGGCTTTCCATTAATCGTATTGTCTACAGTTAAGACATTATGTTTCCTTTGTCCAAAATTTTCTCAGAAAAGTTTCTATACTTGGCAATCACGTATTAACCATTACAATTTCATATACACCCCTACAAGTTAGTGAAATTTCAAAGATGTAATAACCTCTTCACTATCAAAAAGACTTTCAAAATAGTTTTGTGTCAGTGCTACCTTTTATTGGCTCTTTAAAAACATTATTCTATTTTAAATCACTCTTTTCTCTTAAGTGGTAATAAACCATGTCTCTGTTTTTCCCCCTATGTCATTGGATCAATCTCTGTTTTCCTCATTATTTCCACTGCTTTCTATGCACAAAATGAGACTGCACTCTAAGGCTCTGTCCTTAGCTCTTAGACTTTATTGATCCCTACATTTTCGTGTGACAGTTTGGCTTCAACTATGAGTCCGAGCAAATGACTATTGGATTTACATCTTAGACCTAGAACACTATTTCTGAATTTTAGTTCTTCATTTCCAATGCCTGGCTGATATCTCAATATCAATATCCTGCCTCAAATAAACATGACCAAACTTAACTTTCTACCAAAACTCTTCAAATGCCACCATTTCTGTTAACTAGGTTATTTATTTCCCTGATTACTGATTTCCAAAGTTCAAAATGCCAGAGGAGTCTTTCTTCACTTATTCTTCTCCTATTGCATTCAATCAATTTTTTAAAAAATCTTGCCAAATCTTTGTACTGGTCCTTTGTAATGTAATGTTGATTGTAGGACTAAGACCAAGACAGACCTGAAATCTCACCTTCATGACTGTCTAGATGTCTTAGATAAGTTCCTAAACCCCACTATATTTAATTTTCTTCCATAAAATAAGAGTAATACCTTTCCAAATCAAAGGATATGATGAATAGATAAAACACTTTTCAGAAAGTCCTTCCCCATCCACCCTAGCTGAAGTATTAGCCTAAATCTCTACCCGTTTCATCCTATGTTACCATTTTATTTTATTTAGAAATTAACACTATCTGACATTCTATGGTTGACTGATTGACTGTTTTTTGCTTACAAGTTTATTCCCTATGTCTTTCCATTGGAGTTCCTGAGAGCAGGACCTTTGTCAGTATTATTTACCACAGAATCCAAAATAATCCCTCTCACATATTAGGTGCTCAATACATATTTGGTAAAGGAATGAAGGAATAAAATACATGAAGTGCCTGCCACAATGGCTTTTAGTGTCTGTCCTCTACTTTATGCTGTCTTCTTTATTCTTTGCCACTGCTATCTTCCTGTATCAACCTTAATCACATCATTTCTGGCCTACAATAATTGGTCTCTCTGCCCTCATCTGTCTCCTAATCCCCATTAATCTGCTAGTAAAATCTGGATTAATCTCCTTTAAAAAAACTTTTTATTTATAAAAACAAGTTATTCATAGACACCAACTATGACAGAATGTCTTTTAATTTCCTATTCAAACTACTTCAATAGATCTTCATAACATTTATTAAGAAGTCTAAACTCCTTAGTATATCATCCAAGATTCTTTTCAGTACTCCCCCCCGTCTCTAATTTCCAACTAATTCCTTATACAAAACTCAGTCATTTTGATTGTCCTTAAAAGGGTCATGTCTGTTCCTACCTTTGATTACACCATACCACACAACTAGAATACCTAAATGAAATTCTTCCTTTAGAGTCCTGGTTAAGATACCATACTTAAATACTGCCTTGTTTTATATTTCCCTATGCTTTTTAAACTATTATTATAGAATCATTAATATACTCATAATTTTTAAAGAATCATATGCAGCTATAAAAAGTCTTTCAACTTTCTAATCTCCAGCCTTCCCATGTATAATCACTGTTTATTGTTTATATATCCTTTCAGATGTGATTAATATTCAAATGCTTTTAGATTTTTCATCAATATTCAATGTTTATATATGTATATATGTAGAATTATATATACTTACAACATATTATAAACACTGTTCTGAAACATACATCTTTACTTTCTATATCACGTACCTGACTTGTCTAACACCTGCAGAATTAACCACTGATTTTGAATACTTACATGACTTATTTGCTCTAATATTCATATGACATGAAGCATGTTTTCTTCTATTTTTGTCTATCCATTTAAGTATTTTGCAACCTCCAACTAGATATCAAATTTCCCAAATACTTCTTTCAACATTTTAAAAGTCAACATACAATGGTGATTTGAACATGTAATGTCACCATATTAACTATTTAGAAATTGAATATTTTATCCTCTTCCATTAAAAATCCAAATAATAATCAAATTTCTGGAATTAAACATTGAAAAAAAAATAAACTATTTCCTAATGGAATCATTCAAATATGGAAAAAAAAAAACAGATCCACTTTCAATTAAAAAACAAATATTCTGAGTCAACCAAAAACTTCTAAAACTAAGAAATGAGAATAGCAAAGTGGCAGAATATCAGATTAAATAAAATTTTAATTGTATTTCTATATGCTTATAAAAAACAATCCAAAATGAAATTAATAAATGATTCCATTCATAATATCACAAAAATAAATAAAATGCATAGAAATAAATTTTTAAAAATTAAGTGAAAGACTTGTACACTGAAAACAACAAAACTGAGAGAATTAAAGAGTACTTAAATAAAATGACAGTTCATGTTCAAGGACAAGAATACTATTATAAAGATGGTAATTCTCCACAAATTGATCTATAAATTCAATGGAATACTTATCACTATCCCAGCAGGAATCATTGTAGAAACTAACAAGCTGATCCTAAAATTCATTTGTAAATGCAAGGAACCCTGAATAGCCAAAGCAATATTGAAAAAGAAGAGCAAAGTTGGAGAACTCACACTTTCCTATTTTGAAACTTAACTACAAAGCTATAGTAATCAAGACTGTGTAGTACTGCCATAAGGACAGCTATATAGACCACTGGAATATAACTGAGAGTCTAGAAATAAATGCTTACATTTATGGCCAACTGATCTTCAACAAAAAATATCAAGGCAATTCACTGGGGGAATGGGGCTGGTATAATTGAATATCCACGTGCAAGAAATGAACTTAGACTCTCACTTCACACCATGTAAAAAATTCATTCAAGATCAAAAATAGATATAAATTTCAGAGATATAATTATTAAAATTTTAGAACATAAAAGAAAAATTTTTTAGCCCTGAATTAGGCAGAGTTCTTAGATATAGCACCAAAAGCATGATCCATAAAACAAAAAGTTCTAAATTGGACTTCATAAAACTCAAAACTTTTTGCTTCAAAAAAGACCATTAAGAAAATGAAAAGACAAGCTACAAGCTAGGAGAAAATATTTGCAATTCTTCTATCTGATAGAGGACTTATACCCAGATATCTGCTGTTACAAATCAATAATGAGACAAACACCCACTTTAAAAATGGGCAAAAAATTTGTATAGACATTGGACCAAAGATATATACATAGTTAATAAGCAGATGAAAAGATGCTTATCATCATCATTACTTTTTAGAGATATACAAATTAAAACCATTGTGAAATACCCTTTACACCTACTAGAATGTCTATAGTACAAAAGACAGAAAATACTGTTTGCAAGGACATACAGAAAATGGAACCTTCATGCATCAGTGGTTTACACTTTTTAGAAAACAATTCAGTTTCTTAAAAAGTTAAACATAAACTTACCATACGTCCCAGCAACTGCACTCCTAAGTATCTACCCAAAGAAAATGAAAATATATGTCTACACAAAGACATGTAAGTAGGTGTTTACAGCAGCATTTTCATAATAACAAAAACTAGAAATAATCCAAATGTCCATTGGTGAATGAACAAAGAAAATGTAATATATTCACATAATGGAATAATACTCAGCAATCAAAAGGAACAAACTACTGATACATGCTACAACATGAATAAGGCTCAAACACACCACCCTAGGTGAAAGAAGGCAGGTGACAAAGACTACATATTCTATGATTCCATTTTTATAAAACGTTTAGAAAAACAAATTAATAGAGACAGAAAACAGATCAATGGTTACCTAGGACCAAGTTGGGAGTGGGGATTAACTGCAGATGCGAAGGAAGGAAACTGGTGGAGTGGTGGGAATTTCTAACACTGGATTGTGAAGATAGTTATACAGCACTGTTAATTTACCAAGATTATGGAATCATACATGTAAGATGGGTGAAGTTTACAGTATGTAAGCTATACCTCCTTAAAGCTATTGAAACATAATGGAAACCCAAAAAAGTCAAATATTTGTTTCTCTACAATTTGATAATCCTAAACTCAATAATTTTTAGCAGTAGGCATATAAGCTTTTATAATTTTTTAGTTATAAGACATTCCTAATATATTCACTAGTTTACTATATTTTATGTAAATGATAAAAAATACTGGTTTATATATTTTAGGTAAAGAATTTAGAAGCTAAAATTTTACTTCTATACATTTATTTAAAATGAAACCGTAATGAAGCCAATTACCTTTTTCAAAGCAGGGCAGAAATTAAAGAAAAGTCGGTGGTTATATGTTTTGAATCTTTCAGGAAGATGCCAGCTCTGAATTATTTCTTCATCAGAAATCACATGATGATCCAGTGCTTTGAGAGCCCATATACTGTTGACAAGAACATGTCTATATCCTTTTTTAAGGCTTACTGGACAATCAAACATAGTGAGGGCAATGAGGCTTGGACAAGCAGATAATATACATACATTCTTTAACTTTGCAAGCCCATTGTCATGTAGATAGAGAAGTTTTAGGTTCTTCAATCCACTCCAAAATCTGGTATCTGGTAGACTCTTGATCTGAAATATCATTAATAATAATATGTTAAATACAAATTTTCCATGAATTACATTGAAAAAGGAAAAACATTAAACATCTTCTATAGTTCAATATTTTCCCAAATAGCAAATTTCTCATTAGTAAGCAAAAACAGAATTTCTAATTACCCAAATGATGACTGGGGTAAAGCAAAATACACTAGGTGTCTGTAATTACTAGTGTAATTAAATAAACAAACATATATACTCCATTCAATAAAAGTCCCTTTGTAATAAGCAAACTCTTTAAACTTTTATAAAATACTTTCCTTACATGAAAAACTTCAGGGGGTCAAATCAATCAATGTTATAGTGATACTCCACATTAACAAAATGAAGGATAAATATCATACGATCATCACAATAGATATAGAAAAAGTATTTGACAAAATTCAACATCCACAAAAGACAAACCTCAGAATGGGAGAAAATATTTGCAAATGAAGCAACTGACAAAGGATTAATTTCCAAAATTTACAAGCAGCTCATGCAGCTCAATAACAAAAGAACAAACAACCCAATCCAAAAATGGGCAGAAGACCTAAATAGACATTTCTCCAAAGAAGATATACAGACTGCCAACAAACACATGAATGTTCAACATCATTAATCATTAGAGAAATGCAAATCAAAACTACAATGAGGTATCATCTCACACCAGTCAGAATGGCCATCATCAAAAAATCTAGAAACAATAAATGCTGGAGAGGGTGTGGAGAAAAGGGAAAACTCTTGCACTGCTGATGGGAATGTGAATTGGTTCAGCCACTGTGGAGCACAGTATGGAGGTTCCTTAAAAAACTACAAATAGAACTACCATATGACCCAGCAATCCCACTACTGGGCATATACCCTGAGAAAACCAAAATTCAAAAAGAGTCATGTACCAAAATGTTCACTGCAGCTCTATTTACAATAGCCCGGAGATGGAAACAACCTAAGTGCCCATCATCGGATGAATGGATAAAGAAGATGTGGCACATATATAAAATGGAATATTACTCAGCCATAAAAAGAAACGAAATTGAGCTATTTGTAATGAGGTGGATAGACCTAGAGTCTGTCATACAGAGTGAAGTAGGTCAGAAAGAGAAAGACAAATACCGTATGCTAACACATATATATATGGAATTTAAGAAAAAGAAAATGTCATGAAGAACCTAGGGGTAAGACAGGAATAAAGACACAGACCTACTGGAGAACGGACTTGAGGATATGGGGAGGGGGAAGGGTGAGCTGTGACAGGGCGAGACAGAGGCATGGACATATATACACTAACAAACGTAAAGTAGATAGCTAGTGGGAAGCAGCTGCATGGCACAGGGATATCGGCTCGGTGCTTTGTGACCGCCTGGAGGGGTGGGATAGGGAGGGTGGGAGGGAGGGAGATGCAAGAGGGAAGAGATATGGGAACATATGTATATGTATAACTGATTCACTTTGCTATAAAGCAGAAACTAAAACACCATTGTAAAGCAATTATACCCCAATAAAGATGTTAAAAAAAAATCCAACATTCTTTTATGATTAAAACTCTCAACAAGCTGGGTATAGAGGGACTCTACCTCAACATAATAAAGGCCATATCTGACAAGCTCACAGCTAACATCAGTCTCAGTGGTGAAAAGATACAATATTTTCCTATAAGAGCAAGAGTAAGACAAGGATGCCCGCTCTCACCACTTTTATTCAGCATAGCACTGGAAGCTAGAAGTCCTAGACAGAGCAATTAGGCAAGAAGAAGGAACAAAAGGCAACCAAATTGGAAATGAAAAAGTAAAACTGTCACTTTCTGCAGATTACATGATATACAGGCATACCTCAGAGATTTTGTGTGTTGAGTTCCAGGCCACTGCAATAAAGCAAATATTGCAATAAAGCAAGTCACAAAAATTTTTTGGTTTCCCACTGCATATTAAAGTTGTTTACACTATACGGTAATCTATTAAGTGTGCAATAGCATTATGTCTAAAAATACCAATGTACATATCTTAAGTAAAAAATACTTTATTGCTAAAAAATGCTAGCCATCATCTGATAATGTGAGATTGCCACAGACCTTCAATTTGTAAAAAATGCAGTATCAGTGAAGTACAATAAAATGATGCCCAATAAAATGCAGTATGCCTGTATATGGAAAACCCTAAATACTGCACAAAAAACTGTTAGAACTAATAAATAAAATCAGTAACATTTCAGAATACAAAATCAATACACAAAATTATGTTGACTTTCTACACATTAAGTATTAACTATCAGAAAGAGAAATTAATAAAACAATCCCACTCACAACTGCATCAAAAAGAATAAAATGCCTAGGAATATATTTAACCAAGGATGTGAAAGATATGTACACTGAAAACTATAAGACATATTGAAAAGAAATTGAAGAAGACATAAATAAATTGAAAGATACTCTGTGCTTGTGAATTGCAAGAACTAATATTGTTAAAACGTTGATACTACCCAAAGCAATCTACAGATTCAACACAAGCCATACCAAAATTTCAGTGGCATTTTTCACATAAATAGAACAAATAATCCTAACATTTGTATGAAATTACAGAAAACCTCAAATAGGCAAAATGATCTTGAGAAAGAACAAAGCTGGAGCCCTCACACTTCCTGAATTCAAGGATATTACAAAGTTACAGTAAAAAAAAAAAAAAACAGTATGGTACTGGCATTTAAAAACAAACAAACAAACACATAGGTCAATGGAACAGAAAGATAGCCCAGAAATAAACCAACACATATATGTTCAATTGATTTACAAAAAAGGAACCAAGAATATACAAGGGAAAAGAAGAGTCTTGTCAATAAATTGTGTTGGGAAAACTGGACAGACACTTGTGAAAGAATGAAACTTGACCACTATCTTATGCTACACACAAAAATTAACTCGAAATGGATTAAAGACTTGAACACAAAATCTGAAACCATAAAACACCTAGAAGAAAACATTGGTGGTAAGCTCCTTGACATGGGTCTTGGCAATATTTTTTTTGATTTGACACCAAAAGCAAAGGCTAAAAAAAAACAAAGCTGAGCAAGTGAGATGATGTCAAACTAAAAAGCTTCTGCACAGTAAAGGAAACCATCAATGAAATGAAAAGGCAACTGGGACTTCCTTGGTGGTCCAGTGCTAAAGAATCCACCTTACAATGCAGGGCACGTGGGTTCGATCCCTGGCCAGGGAACTAAGATCCCACATGCTGCGGGGCAACTAAATCTGCATGCCACAAATACTGAGCTCGCGCACCTCAACTAGAGAGCTTATGTGCCACAAACTACAGGCCCACGTGCTCTGGAGCCCACGTACCACAATGAAAGATCCCACATGCTCAACAAAGATCTCGTGTGCCGCAACCAAAGACCCAACACAGCCAAAAATAAATAAATCTTACCAAAAAAAAGGCAACCTACTGAATGGGGGAAAATATTTGCAAATCATATCTGAGAAGGGGCTAATATCCAAAATACATAAAGAATTCACACAATAGCAAAAACCCAAACGATCCAACTAAAAAATGGGAAGAGGATCTAAGTTAACGTTCTTCCAAAGAAGACATCCAATGTCCAACAGGTACATGAAAAGATACTCAACATCACCAATCATCAGGGAAATGCATATTAAAACCACAAATTCAATCACCTCACACCTATTAGAATAGCTATTATCAAAAAGACAAGAAATAACAAGTTGGCAAGGATGAGGAGAAAAGGGAACCATGTGCAGTGTTTGTGCAATTGTAAATTGGTGCAGCCACTATGAAAACAGCAAGGAGGTTCCTCAAAAAATGCAAAATAAAGGGCTTCCCTGGTGGCGCAGGGGTTGAGAGTCCACCTACCGATGCAGGGGACACGGGTTCGTGCCCCGGTCCGGTAAGATCCCACATGCCACAGAGCGGGTAGGCCCTTGAGCCAAGGCCGCTGAGCCTGTGTGTCCGGAGCCTGTGCTCCGCAACGGGAGAGACCACAACAGCGTACCACAATTAAAAAAAAAAAAAATTCAAAATAAAGCTTCCATATGATCCGGCAATTCTACCTCCAGGAATTTATTTCAAGGAAATGAAAACACCAGCTCAAAAAGACACATACATCCCCATGTTCACTGCACCATTATTTATAATAGCCAAGATGTGGAAGCAACCTAAGTGTCTATCTATAGATGAATAAGTAAAGAAAATCTTGTGTGTATACACAGTGGATTACTGCTGACTCATAAAAAAGAATGAAATCATGCCATTTGAAACAAAATGGTGGATGTTGAGAGCATTATGCAAAATGAAATAAGTCAGACAGAAAAAGACAACTACCACATGATCTAACTCATGTGGAATTTAAAAAAGCAAACAAAAACCAAACTCTTAGATACAGAGAACTCATTGGTGATTCAGAGACAGAGGGGGTGGGTGAAATGGTGAAGTTGCTGAAAAGATACAAATTTTCAGTTATAAAATAAATGAGTCCTGGGGATATAATACACAGCAGGGTGAGTACAGTTAATAATACTGGATTATATATTTGAAGGTTGCTAAGAAAGCAGATATTAAAAGTTCTCATCACAAGGAAAAAATTGTAACTCTTTGGTGATGGATGTTAACTTGACTTATTGTGATCATTTTGCAATATACACAAATATTGAACCATTATGTTTTATACCTGAAATTAATATAATACTTTATGTCAATTATATATCATTAAAAAATTAAGAAGTCAAGAAGTAGTCTTAAGACTATGGATTTAAGAAGTAAACCAAATCACATACTGTTGGTCTAGATATTTTAAATCAAAAATGTTTGCTTATACCTAAAATTTTTGTGCTTACATATATTTTTTATTTAGTTTTGAATTGTTTATATTTCACATATAAGACTACCCGGGAGAAATACTGTACATAGATAACGTAAGTGCTTATTAAATATCAACTTAATTTATATGCAGATAACTGAAATGGCTATTGCTTACGTGATTTCCATGGAGATCAAGTTTGACTAATTTTATACAACTCTGAAGTGGACGAATATCTGTAATAAAATTGTTTGAGAAGATGCACACTCTAAGAGAGATACAAGATTGAAAACTTTCCATAGATTTTAAATGAAGGCCACTGAACTTCACAAAAACATAATCTTTTTGATCTTCTATTATATTTTCATTATAGTGACTCCATTCTCTATGATTGGTTAGCTCTTCTGTGACTGTTCCATGAAACATCTAGGAAAAATGGGAAATTTTGAACGTTTTTTTTCAACTTTCAAAAATAAATCTATATGAAAAAAATACTTTCTAATAGACAGTGAGAATAAATGGGTAGAAAAGTTAAAATTTTTAAGAATATAATTTCCATAAAACCTTCTATCCCAAAGCATTTTAAATATTAACATGTATATAATTACAACTCAAAAATGTATCATTTCTCTCACCAATGAAATAATCAGTAAGAGGAAGAAAAACTTTCTTTTTCCTGAAATACTTAAAGAACATGAAATTCAGTGAAATAGCTGGGATAAAAACATCACCTCTAGGCAATACAACTAAAACAAACATAGAAAACTATACCCCTCAGACTTCCCTCGTGGTGCAGTGGTTAAGAATCTGTCTGACAATGCAGCAGACACAGGTTCGAACCCTGGTCTGGGAGGATCCCACATGCCACAGAGCTAGGCCCATGTGCCACAACTACTGAGCCTGCACTCTAGAGCCCGCAAGCCACAACTACTGAGCCCCCATGCTGCAACTACAGAAGCCCATGCTCCGCAACAAGAGAAGCCACTGCAATGAGAAGACCGTGCACCACAGCAAAGAGTAATCCCTGCTTGCCGCAACTAGAGAAAGCCCATGTGCAGCAACAAAGACCCAACATAGCCATAAATAAATAAATAAATTTATTTTTTAAAAAAGAGAAAACTATACCCTAACATACCTTGTATAATAATTTTGGTTAAAAGATGTTGTTAAGTAAAGAAGAGCATTGAGTGATAAATCCCCAAGTTAGGAGAGTGATCATCTTTGTGAGAAAGGCTGATAAATGCAGCTAAATGAAATTAAGGGGCAATAAAGGGCTACAAGGATGATTCAACAATGTAAATCAATCATTGTGATAAACCTCATAAATGGAATGAAGGATAAAAATCATATGATCATATCAATAGATGCAGAAAAATCATTTGAAAAAATTTAACATCCTTAAATAAAAATTCTAAACAAAGTGGGTACAAAAGCACTGCAATTCAGCATAACAGAGGCCATAAATTATAACCGTGCAGCTAACATCATACTCAATGATGAAAGGTTGAAAGCTTTCCTCTAAAATCAGGGAAAAGAAAGTGCCCACTCTCACCATTACTGGATATCCTAGCTGGAGTAATCAGGCAAGAAAAAGAAATAAAATCAGAAAGGAAGAAGTAAAATTGTCTTTGTTTGCAGATGACTTGATGTTATATACAGAAAATCCTAAAGACTCCATCAAAAAAATGTTAGAACTAATTTAAAAATTCAATAAAGTTGAAGGGCACAAAATCAACATGCAAAACTCAACTGCATTTTATATTTGTTAACAATGAACTATGTGAAAAAAATAAAGACAATCCCATTATAATAGCATCAAAAATACTCAAGTACTTAGGAATGCATTTAAACAAGGAGGTGAAAGATCTGTACACTGAAAACTGTAAGACATTAATGAAAGGAATTGAAGAAAACAAAAATGATTGGAAAGCTATCTTGTGTTCATGGATTGCAACAGTTAATACTCTTAAAATGTCCATACTACTACTCAAGTCATCTATAGATTCAGTGCAATCCCTATCAAAATTTCAATGACACTTTTCACAGAAATAGGAAAAGCAACTCTAAAATTCATATGGGACCACGAAAAATAGGAAAAACAATCTTGTGAAAGAACAAAACTGGAGGCCTCATACCTTCTGAATTCAAAACAACATATTACAAAGCTACAGTAATCAAAATAGTATGGTACTAGCATAAAAACTGGCACATAGATCAAGGCAAAAGAATTGAGAGCCCAGAAATAAACCCATAAATATGCAACAACAATATCTGACAAAAGAACCAAGAATACTCAATAATGAAAGGACAGTATCTTCAAGAAATGGTGTTGAAAAAACTGCCTAAGAATGAAATGTTCACATGCGAAAGAATAAAATTGGACCCCTGTCTTAAACCACTCACAAAAATTACTGGATGGGGCTTCCCTGGTGGCGCAGTGGTTGAGAGTCTGCCTGCCGATGCAGGGGACACGGGTTCGTGCCCCGGTCCGGGAAGATCCCACATGCCGCAGAGCGGCTAGGCCCGTGAGCCATGGCCGCTGAGCCTGCACGTCCAGAGCCTGTACTCCGCAACAGGAAAGGCCACAACAGTGAGAGGCCTGCGTACCACCAAAAAAAAAAAAAAATTACTGGAAATGGGTCAAAGACTTAAATGTAAGAGCAGAAACCATAAAACTTCTAGAAGAAAGCTTAGGGGAAAAAAAGTTTCTTTTACATTCATTCATCCTGGTAATGACTTTTTGGATATGACACCAAAAGCAAAGGCAACAAAAGCAAATACCAACAACTGTGGCAACAAACTAAAAAGCTTCTGCACAGCAAAAAAAAAAAAAATCAAACAAACAACAGAATAAAGAGGAACCTATGGAATGGGAGAAAATATTTTCAAATCATAGATCTGATAAATGGCTAATTTCCAAAATATAAAAGGAACTCATACAAATCAGTAGAAACTGATAATAACAAAAACAACCTGATTAAAAAATAGGCTAAGTACCAGAATAGATATTTTTCCAAAGAAGACATATAAATGTCCAACAGATACATCAAAAAGTGCTCAACAACACTAATCATTAGGAAAATGAAAATCAAAACCACAATGAGCTGTCACCTCACACCTTTTAAAATGACTATATTCAAAAAGATAAGATTATGTGTTGACAAAGATGTGGAGAAAAGGGAACCCTTGTACACTGTTGGCTGTACCAATGTAAACAGTATAGAGGTACCCTGAAAAATTAAAAGTGGAACTACCATATGACATAGTAATCACATTTCTGGGTATATATCCCCCCAAAATGAAGTAATTATCTTGAAGAGGTATGTGCATCCCCATGTTCTTTAGTCCCAATGCCTAAGTCATGGAGGGAACCTAAATGTCCACTGACAGATGAATGGCTAAAGGAAATATGATATCTATTTTATATACACACACACAATGGAATATTATTCAGCCATGAAGAAGAAGGAAACTGCCATTTTCTACAATATAAATGCCACTGGTGGCCAAAATATGGTGCAAGAAATGGGGAGATGTTGGTTAAAGGGAACAAACTTCCAGTTATAAGATGAACAAGTTCTGGGAATATAATGTACAGCATGGTGACTATAGTTAAAAATACTGTATTGTATACTTAAAAGTTACTAAGAGAGTAGATCCTAAAGGTCCTCAAACACACCGGGAAAAAAAAAACAACAGATAATTATATGTGGTGATAGAGGTATTATGAACCTTACCATGGTAATCATTTTTGCAATGTATATATGTATTAAAGTATCATATTATACATATTAAACTTATATAATGTTATATGTCAATTATATCACAATAAACCTGGAAGAAAAGATTTCTAAGTACAAATAATTAGGTATGTCTCATTTAGATTAATATTTGTTGTTAATTCCTTGAAATCCTTCCATTTGAATTTTCTACAACCAATATCCAATGTCCTGCAAAAAAGAATGCACATTCTTTTTTCATTTATTTACACTGTGTAACAAAGCACCCCTAAACCTACTGCCTTAATAAAAACACCATTAATTATTTCTCAGGTCTGTGGCTTAACTTAGTTCAAGTGGGCAGCTCTTTTTCAAGGGATGTTGACTTAATAAGATTCAGTCTTGTGGGGCTCATCCAAACTAACACCTACAAGGTGACTAATTTACATATGTGAAACACTGGCAAGGAGAGCAGGAAGGTAGGTTCAGCTGGAATGCTGGGATATACGGGTCTCTCTCACCATACTATCTTAAGGTCTCTCCATCCACACCAGTACTCACGATGTCATCCTCTCACAGGTCTATTCATGTGTTTCTGTAATAGGGAAGTAAGACTTTCTACATGGTCGACACAGGGCTCCAAAAAGTATAAACACAGAACCTGTCGGGCCTTCTGAAGGTTTAGGCCCATCTGGCAGAGCTTTACCTCAACCACATTCTATTACTTAGAGGAAGTTATTCTGATGATTTGAACCAGTTTATAATGTAGTTAGAGAAAGAAGAAAATAAAATATAAGTTGTTCTGAGCTTGGTGACCTCAGGCAAGTTATGTATATCCTCAATTTGTTATGTATCCAAATTATGTTCCTCAGTTTCCTCATCTATAAAACATGGATAGTAATAGTATTTGATGGAAATAATTGTTGTGAGGACTAAATGAGTTGGCCTGAAGGCTTTAGAACACTGTCTGGCACATAGCAAGCACTGTAAAATGAGTATTACTTAATAAGGCAAATACCTAGCTCAATTAACAACTCAACATAGACTGCCCCTTCAAAAAGTAAGTTAGGGCACTTCTGGTTTCCAGTCCAACATATAAGGAGCTTAGAAGTTGTCACACCATCCTAAAAAGTAAAAGCTGAACAAAATGAAAAAAATCAACACATCTTCTTAGATTCCTCAGTAAAGGGAGGTCACACAGAGAGCCAATACCCTCAAAATCAGAGAGACAGGTAAGTGGATATAGAGATTCAGAACTTACAGGAGCAGAAACTCACCAGCAGAGATCTCTGGAGGAACTAGTGCCTCCTGGGTAGGAAATCCTAAACTATAACTGATAAGTTACTGCAGGCACAGTGTTGACAACTCTGAGATTAAAAATTCCAGGAAGGCCTAGTCAATGAAGGGACCACCTTGCTTTTGAAAGATTAACATCCAGGAGCTCTAACACGTCCTCAGGGTGAATACTGGACAAAAATCCACTCGTGCTTCCATAGGGGAGAGGAAATAAATAATTTTGAAATACACCAGAGAATTCTGCTCTTCTTAATAAGGCCTGCCCTCAAGAGAAACTATTTAATGGACACTAAACAACTGAGGTTTTATCAGAGCCTAACTGACATGGGAGAAGAGAAATACTCAACTCCATCTCCCTCTAGCCTTCCATTTGGAGGAAGGGAAGCACCCAACTCCAGCCCACTCTTGCTA